GTCTGTCTCTGTGTCGACTTCGATTAGTACGTGTTCTATCGACTCCGGAAAAATAAAAAGGCAAAAAATTGGACAAAAAGAAGCGACTTAACAAAATAAAAAGGCAAAAGTGATGCTGCGGACCGCGGAACCGCGGTTTATATAGCGGTTTTTCCCTTAATTGGTGGGGTTCTAATTTGGGTGGTGGGATGTTTTTCTGGGTTTTGGATTGGTCGAGATTGTGGGGGAAGAAAGGAGTCGGTTGGTATCAACAAGGGTCTTCTTAAATTTATGGTTCTTCTAAATTTATAGGAAAATGCACGGGCACCGATTAAGACGAGCGCACGTGCACTGTCGGGACGCGCCCGTCAAATACTTTCCTTGGACTTCGGGTGTCACTTTTATTTTTTATGGTCGTGGACATTGTGAAAATCGTCCACGACTTACTTGTCGGAAAAATGTTTAGGCGCCAGTTCTGACATTAATTGTCGTTTTTAATGGCGCTGTCCAAGAGAAGTATCATTGGCGATGCATTAGCTCCCTGCGTTCACCGATTCTAATTTAATTTTATTTTGCGTTAATGGAGACACTGGAGTCTTTTGCTTTAAACTTTCTCGTGGGAAAGATTTTTATTACTTTTCTTAGAAGTCTTAGGGGTTGATAACCCCTAGGTCTCCGTGAGAAAGAGAAAAGAGGCAGCGTGAGTCCGCTGGACGTAACAATATGTATAGAAAGTTATATATAACTATATAGAATTAATAATATAATATTATAATTTAACAATATATAATTATTTACAATTGTATATAAAATACATTTTTTCTCGGGACAGTTTATTTACACAATTTTTAAAAAATATTAAAATAATTTAAGTATTAAAAGGCTTTTGTGCTAACGCTTGTTGCCTTATACGGAAATAAATATACAATAACATAAAATAAAAATTACAATAAAATCTATTAAAAAATTTCGACCTTTAATCTGGTCATCATAAGTTGTTGTAAAAATCGCTGATGATGATCAAATTAAAGGTGGAAACGTTTGTGATTAAATTTTATTGTAATTTTTGGGTGTCACTGCTGAGCATAATAAACATAATAAAAAACAGCTACAATAATTGTATATTGAGAAATGGGTTCTCCCTTGGCTCCTTTATTCTATGAATCTCGGACAGACCTGAATTCAGGCGGAGCCTATCCTTTGTTATTTTCGCTTCGTCTCGCTCTACTGAGATGACGGAGAGGGGGAAGCGTTTTCGACTCAAGAGCAAAGTGTTGGACAGGCCTGATTTATAGCGTCACATTAACCTGCAGTTTGCAGTGTTACCAACTTCGATTTTTCAGTTTTATACCGTTGCCAAATCATTTCTTGAGCTAAAAATATTTATTGTTCTAAAAAATTTATTTTTGAAACTTTTACACAAATAAACACTAATATTTTTTGCATTTTAATTGCATTATATAATCCATATTTCTTTAAATTTTAGCTATTTATTTCTTCAAATTTTAATGTTTAAATGTTGGCTACACCATATTTCTTTTGTATTAAAGCATTCCCCTCTCACTGCCCGCCTCAGCCTTACAACCTCCTTAAGTTAATCGGCGTTGGTAACAGTCGCCCTATGTCTTTAGTAAAAAATATATCAATTTTGAAATTTTTGTTCTTTCTCGACATAGATTTTATTTCCTAGATACGTATAATGCGTATACTTTAATCCTGGAAAAGAATTTTCGAATCGGTGAAAGAGGAGAAAAGTATTTGTTATACAAAAATTACATGATTTAATCGGCAAAACAGGTGGCTTTAGGATTCTCTTAAAGGATACGAATCGAGGCCGGTAATACACAAAACTTGTTTTCTAGATGTCAAACTTTTTTTTAGAAATAAAAAAAAGACCGATATTTGACCAGGTGATCTTAGTATTTAAAAAAAAAAAAAAATGCGCAGGACACGAATGACCCAGGCATGTATATTAAGGGTTAATTAATTTGTCACATGGAAACGTGAAGTGCCTACGCATTTTTAACGATCGTGATCGAAATTTATCGGAAAGTTACAACAGTATAAAAATAACGAATCTGTACAAGGTAAGCGAGAGAGAGAGAGAGAGAGAGAGAGAGAGAGAGAGAGAGAGAGAGAGGGGCAGGAGAGGGATTGATTGATTCATTGATTGGTTTTATTAGCTTCAGTAGTTAAGTATAATAATAATAATACTAATAATAACATTTAATATTTACAATAACACTTAATTTTCTACACTACATAAATTTTTATCTAATAATACTTTTGAATTTCACTAACCCTATCTACTCCTATATATATATATATGACACTAGCATCCTCTTAAAGTTCTGCAGTCTCTTTTCTTTTTTTATTTCTTTTGGTAAATTATTGTACATTTTAAACCCATCATACACAACAGCATTTTCTGTTCCTCTCTAGTTTTACATCTACTTATAAGTATAATTCCTTCTTGTCTAGTTTGCCCTCTTTTCTCCCCTTCTATTAACTCTATTTAATTCCTTAAATAACTCGGGGTGATCCCGATTGATCACGACTCGATTGGACATCACCAATCACAGCGAACGGTGCTTAGGAGCTTTGTAGTCTCAAGCGCTGTGAGTGGCTCGTGTCCAATTGAGCCGTGTCCAACTGGGTGTCACTCAAATAACTCGGACATTGTCCGTTTACCATTTTATGTACAAAGATACAAACATTTTATTCAATTCTTTCCTTTACACTAGACATAAAACGCAACGCCTCAAGCATGTTTTCAATTCTTGTTCTGTTATTGCATTGTAATATTATTCTCATCCCCTTATTTTGCAGCTTTTGTAGATACTTCATATTACTATCACTTAAACTCAATAATATCGATGAACAATATTCAAATAACGGAGCAATTATCACCTTATATACAACACACCTCGTATGGTGTTAAGTTCTTACTAATTCGTCGAAATACCTCTAATTTTAATCCTATTTTTTCCCCCAAGGTAATAATAATTAACATGTGCTGCAAAGTTAAAATTTTTATCCATTATAACATCTAAATATTTAATTTCACTAACTACTTCCGATTCTAATATTACTTTTATGTTGTTTTGCGATCCTTTTTTTCTTATGCCTCTGACTAACATAACTTTGGTTTTGTTTACATTTAATTGCAATCTATTAATCAACTATCTCAATTTTTCCTATCTGCTCATTAAGATTATCATTTATTTTTTGGCACGTTTTTGAAGTGTTTTTTAATTGGTTAGTTTGTAAAGTTCTTTCGTCTAATTGGTCCATCAAATGCTTCAGTATTTGTAGCGAGACTTTGACCACAGTTCAAATCGAGAATCGTTGGTTCCTCAGAGACGATAATTGATTTGGGCTGTTGTTTTAAACCCACTGTACATTATTCTCGTTAACTTATTCGGGAGGGAGAAGGAGAGGGGGTGAGAGAGAGGGGAAGAGGGAGGGGAGAGAGAGAGAGAGAGAGAGAGAGAGAGAGAGAGAGAGAGAGAGAGAGAGAGAAATGTTAAACGGAATAACTGTATGTTCTTAGACAGCTGATCACAACGAGTGATCGCTCGCGTTAGATGGTTGGCTCTGCTTACTTTCTATACGTGGCCAGTGATTCGTTAACTTTATGCTTTAATAACTCAAAAAGTAAGCGTCAAAATTTTTGTAAAGAAAAAATCGTCTCAGAATTCAATTAGGAACACGTTTTTGCAAGGACGTGGGGTTATTCTGAATCACCCCTTCAGGAATGCACGACTCTCCACACGAAATGAGGTCCACTACATACATAACACATCACTCAATAAGTCCCGGGTCTAACTAATAAAACAACAACTTTTAGGCAAAATTCGACTTTATTCATCAACATAGTCTCCTTCTAGGGTGATACACTGATTCCAATGCTTCTCTAACAATTCGATGCCTTTTTTGTAGAACGGTTTGTCTTTGGCCTCAAAATACGCCTCAGTTTCCGCTCATAACCCCCTCCTTTGATCTAAATCTCTTTCCCTGGAGCATTCTTTTGAGATCTGCAAACAGCCAGAAGTCGCTGGATGCCAGATCTGAAGAATACGGTGGATGGGGAAGCAATTCGAAGCCCAATTCGCGTACTTGTGCCAATCAACACACGAAATTTAGATTTTTCCATTGTTTTGAAAAATGCAAAAGTAGCGTCACTTAAACCACTGTAACTTGTAAAGTAAAGGTCCGATTGTCGTGAAATTTTAACACATATCGTTTGAAGGTTAGTACTTTCTAAAAATTATATGGATTTGTTATTAGTGCGCCATCTATTATGTCAGGCCCGGGACTTATTGAGTGATGTGTTATATATG